AGCGTATTCCTCCAGTATCCGCAGGTACTGAACCGCAGCGGTCTGGTTAGTGTTTGGGAGATAGTTTGCTAAGGTAAATGTCCTACCCCAGAGTGACAGTTTGAGCATTAGGTATCTACCAAACTCATCTGCTCGATGATCTAGCATCGTTGCGAGGAGGGTTTTATGTAAGGCAATCGAGACTCCCCTCGATTTCTGTACACTGTTAGAGCTGTGATAGCATCTATTAAAGTATCTGTGCGAACAATGAGGGATATGAGAGCTCTGGAAATGCGTTTCCTGTAACATGACAACCTGGACCATGGCCTTATGCATAGAATACAAAATCTGGCCCCTTTTTAAAGGGGACATTGAGGCCTCTAGCGTTGCACGTGCAGATCTTAAAGTCCACATCCGTGGATCTTGTGGCTGCCATCGCAGAGGGGAGAGGGAGGGTGAACAAGGAGATGGGAGGGGGAGGGGTGGGAAAGACAAGGGGAGGAACACTCAATAGGACACAAGGCAGAAGGTAAGTTCAGAGGCAGCAAGGGGGGTAGAAAGAAACAGTACAGGGGATGGCAAGAGGAAGGAGCAGTCAGAGAGAAGGAAGAAAGACTAGAAAGGGCAGGGAGACCTGCATCTAGTGTGTTTAACACCTAGCAAACGCTAGAAACAACCTGTCCCTTACGGGGAAGGCTTAACCTATGTGGGGAGAAGTGGTCGAAGTAACGGTCCAAGAGGTGCTACCGGTGCTCAATAGCTATAACAGGACCCCCTCTCTCACCGTGAACATAAAAATGACAAAAGTACAATGAACCCATAACATTAAAACCTCCGGGGAACATAAGAGGAGCTTAGGGAACCTACTGGGATCCACAGGCCCCCCTACATGCCCAGTGTTAACTGGGGAGGCGAGGGCAGATCGAAGATAGCCAGAGCCCACAGAAATAAAGAGAGCAGATCAACCCGACATAATACAAGTGTGCATAACATAACCCAACTTCACATACTACTAAGGCAATGCAAAACAGTGATGTCTGTGAAAGGATATGTAATAGGTGATCCCGTGTCCCAACAGGGAAGTAGGGGCCAGCCCCCAGACCCTCAGCCTTCGTTCACTGATGGAGGAGCCAGGCGAGGAGCAGCCCGCACCGAACGGGAATGGGACCTTCTACGTCTCTGAGGAAGTGAGGAGGGTACTTCGGATCTGCCATCCAAAAGGGGGAGGTCCAGCAAATCCGGAACCTCAATCGGAGCCACATGGAGGAATTGGAATAAATCCGCAAGTTGAGCAGGGCTGCGAAGATGGAACTGGTCCGATCCCTTCCGAATCTGAATGCTGAAAGGATGACCCTACCGGTAGGAAGCTCCAGCTTGAAGAATCACCTCCAAAAGAGGCTTAACCGACCTGCGCATGGCCAGCGTCAGACTTGAAAGATCCGGCATCAGTTGTATCGTGGCCCCGTCAAAGTCCACTGGTCCTGACCGCCACACCCGACGCAGGATCTTCTCAAACCAAGATTGTTCGTTACAAGAAATTCCGGATGGAATCGATTTTATACAATACGAGAATTATTCCAGGCATGTATCTGGCCACGGTGGACTTAAGAGATGCATATTTGCATATCCCTATGGCAGAGAAAGCTCAAAGATTGTTGAGGATCGCAATCAAGGGTCCCGGAGAAGTACAGGTGAAACTCGAAAAATTAGAATATCGTGCAAAAGTTCATTTATTTCACTAATGCAACTTAAAAGGTGAGACTAATATATGAGATAGACTCATTACATGCAAAGCAAGATAGTTCAAGCCGTGATTTGTCATAATTGTGATGATTATGGCTTACAGCTCATGAAAACCCAGATCCACAATCTCAGAAGTCAGCATCCCCATAGAGCTCGTCTGCGGAAGGAAGCATGAAGTGCTTCAAAATCTCCTGGTAGACGGCTAAGTTGCATTAGTGAAATAAATGAACTTTTGCACGATATTCTAATTTTTCGAGTTTCACCTGTATTGCACTTCCAGTACAAGTCTCTGCCGTTCGGCCTTTCCTCAGCTCCGAGGATATTTACAAAGGTATTAGCAGAAGCACTAATGCCTCTCAGATTGAAGGGGATAGGAGTCATCCCTTAGATGACCTTCTATTTTTTGCAAACAGTCAAGAGATCCTTGAGGTAAATCTTGCTACGGCCATAGCACACCTGGGATGGCTGATAAACAGAGACAAATCTCAAATGGTTCCATCTAAATGGGTAGTGTTTTTGGGCTACCAAGTGCATACGGAAGTAGCATGTATTTTCCTTCCAGGTGAAAAGGTCTGCAAGTTGACAGCAGAAATAAGGGATCTCTGTTCAAAGGCAAAAGCATCTTTCAGATTTTTAATGAAAATTTTAGGACTGATGACCGCAGCCATTCTGTCAGTAATTTGGGCTCGATTACACACCAGACCCCATCAAAACTTTCTGTTGGTAGAATGGGATGGTCTACCAAAATTGTTGGACAAAGAGGTAACAATACCCAGGGCAGTAATCCAGTCACTGAAATGGTGGCACAGGGCACTTTGAGCAAAATTTAGAGTTGCAAGTCCTCAAACCTGAGGGAACTAAAAGTGATAGAATGCGTTTTATTGGGATTCGCTCCCCGCTTCGAGAACTGTCGTGCAGGTTTCATCGGACAACACGACGGCTGTCGCATACCTAAACAAGGAGGTACGAGATCTCAGCTTCTCATGTCTCTGGCGCAAGATATTCTGCTTTGGACAGAGAAGAATCTGTTAAAGTGACATTAAACCCTCAGATTTTTTAACATAAAACAATACTGTAATGTGTGCCTTACTGTAATCCATGGTTTTTTCCCTTCTCTTTGCTGCTCTTCCTTTTTAAATCTGTATCTCTTCTCATGCTGGGCAGAACTTCTGTTTTGCAGCACACTGCCTTGTCTCTGAAATGGATACATGGTGTCTGTGTGAAGGTTCACAACCTGAGCCAGCACTACAGGAAGAGGCACTCGGCTGCAAAGGGAAGTTCTCCCCCAGCATGATAAGAGATACAGATTTAAAAGGAAGAGGAAACTACCATGGATTACAGTAAGGCACACATTACAGTATTGGTTTATGTTAAAAAATCTGAGGGTTTAAAGGAGAACTATGAGATGAGTGATTTCCACTCACCTCATAGTTCTAGCCGACCTGTGACACTGAGACTGTCACAGGTCGGCTCAGTAGATCGGGAGGTGAGCGAACACATACCGGCGTTCGCTCACCTCTCGATCCTGTCACGGCTCTCTGCCGTGACAGGGGGAGGGGCTGGATTCCCCTCTCCCCGCTCCGATCTGCCAGCGCTGACTGGCGGAACGGACGGGGAGGGGGCGGGTACAGCTGGCTCTGCCTCTAGATAGGCAGAGCCAGCTGTCACTCACGCAGCTGGGCAGATCTTGACGTCCATGTTGGGATCCGCTCCGGCTGCGGCGTCTCAGTATAGCTCGCGGTATACTGAGCTTAGGGTAACGGGAGGATGCTAGTTTGTGTCCTCCCGTTACCCTAAGGAGAACTATGGGGAAAAACACTGATCCCATGGTTCTCCTTTTAATGTCACTTTAATATCTGCAATACACTTGCAAGGGAAATTTAAATATACTAGCAGACACTCTGAGCAGGAAAGCTTTTCGGCAGTTGGTTAGACAATCAGACGTTCCTCATGGTTGCATAAAAATGGGGGCTGCCACAGGTGGACCTTTTTGCCTCCAAGACAAACAGAAAGATGGATCTATTTTTTTCTCAGGTCTGGGAAGAAGGGAGCTTGGGAGTGAACGCACTACTGTACCCATGGAGAACACAGCTGGCTTATGCTTTCCCTCCTATCAGATTCATTCCTGAGTCATCGGCAAGAAAACGTTTAAAAAATAAATTGACAGAGGGGCTGCTCATGAAGACGTTACTGGAGTAATTAATATTGTATCAAATGTTTTTATTTAAAAATATAATTAAAACAATGAGTTTATGGATCATTTCTTGCATAGCAGTTTAGTACTTGATGACCAACAGCTTTAGTTTCTTATTATATTACAGAAGTGCCTATTGTGCTGCCTCTGTGGCATCACTGACAAATATTATGACGCCCAAGCTTTTTGATGGTACGGCTGAATGGATAGCAAGGTATGAAAATGCTTTCATTTACATAACCTTTTTCTTGTCCACTGTTTTAGAATAACTTTATATGATGTACCGTTGTGTTTTCACTGGACCATTGTTATAGGTGCCAGTTTTGGGAAGGTGGCATCGGTGGGGTGCCAGGCATGGAAGCACATGGAGGCTATACATTTTGTGGTTTGGCAGCTTTGGTCATTCTGAAGAGAGTTCACCTATTAGATCTAAAGAGCTTGTTGGTAAGTTATTGGTTTATTAGTGTTTATTTTATGCATGTTTTAATGTTGGTAATTTTATGGATGAAAGTCATTAGGGCCTGATCGGTGTTTGTGGCAAATTCATCTGTGTGATGTGGTTCTTAGAGCTATTTAAGAAGACCTAAAAAAATCTAAAAATAAAGAAGCCTTCAGAAAAACTTTTATTCTTACGACTTCTGGCAGATTTTTCACATCCGACACACTTTCAGGGTTTGCCAGATGCTTAGTTCTCCACTGTGCGCTGTGGTTCCTACTGCCAGCCCTTATGTCATTACTGTGTCCTTTAGTGATTTAGGGGCCAGCATCTGGAAACACAGTGTAGCAGGGGACCCAGGCTCCCAGGAATGTGTTGAACAAGGTGATAACGTGCTACCCACAGTACAGATAAGTATATATTTTTCTAGAATTTATTTGCAAGTGAAAGTCACTTTAAACAGTTTAAAAAAACAAAAAAAGTCTTGTCTAAAAGTAACTTTTCGAGTGATAATGACCTCTACTATGATGTGTACGTTGCTTTGCAGGAGTAGGTTACACTAAACTGGTTTAGCCCCTTCGCTGCCAGGCCCTGCGCTCCACTTTTAACCTCTGCCACATTTTTGCAATTTTTCGTTTTTCACTTATAGCTTTCAGGCCCAGACCTAAAGCTGTGTAAGGGGCCCCAACATTTCTGATGGCTGCCCTGAGTGAGGCGATTAAGGGGGACATGATTTCAGTGTACAAAATGTTTAGTGGTGATGGCAACATCAGCAATAAACCTTTTGCTCTAAACTCCCTAACAAAGACTAGAGGCCACCACCTAAAATTGGTGACGAAAATATTATTTTCAGTCAGAGCGGTTACATTTTGGAACTCTCTTCTAACAGTGAGTATTGAATCATTCAAAAATCAGTTACATACCGTCCTCAGAGAGACAAACAAACAGACAGTGCCTTGTCCTCGTGTAATACAGTATATTAATCAATGAACATACAAGCTGACATAAAATACTCCTCACATAGTAATCACTGAATGAATGGTACAAGGCAGACCCCACACAAAGCTGCCTTGCTAGCTGACACGTTTCAGGGAATATACCCCCTTCCTCAGAGCTAGATACAGGTGTGCAGGTACTCTTAAAAATGAAGACCACACAGGGACTCGCATGCACGCACACACAAAGGTTGAACTTGACGGACCTGCGTTTTTATTCAGCCTCAAACTATGATATATTAATAAAATCATTATTGGTGAACACAAAAACCATATAACTTCTAAATTCCTACTTTACCCCTTAGTGACACAGCTTCAGAAAATGTTTTCAATTTAAATGCGGACAGACAGCGCGAGTTGAGGGAGCTTAACAAGTGGCTCCGGAGCTGGTGTCAGAAGGAGGGATTTGGTTTCCTGGAGAACTGGGCTGACTTCGCAGTCGGTTATATTCTGTGGACCGGAGCAATTTTGCCATTTTTGCTATGTGTTTAAAAATAATTTCTATTTTCCTTATTCATTGCACCTACACATTTTATATACCTTTTTTTTTTTTTTTTTTTTTTTTTTTAATTAAAGGACAAAATTGGCTTTAATTTGATGTGACGTATGCATATATAAATTGCTTTTTTTTTTATTTAAAAAAAAGAGAAAAACCCCCCAACATTTTTTCTGTTGCAATATTTTTATTAAAGTTTTCAAAGGTATAACAGTATAAAACAAACTGACATTTCCATGAATACAGTCGTTCAGAGGAGAATAACAACCATACAACTTATGGTAAATAAAGATATTTTTCAAATGGTATTCTTCTCTTATTCCCCCATATCCTCAAAATACGTGTATTAAGTGAGTCAAGGCTCACTGGGCTGTACAGCCTAACAAAGGGCTCGGGAGAAGACGGTATGGATTGCCAGGAGCGGGAAAGAGGGAGGTCAACAGGGTAGGAAAAGAGGGGAACAGTGTCGGGTATAGTGGGTAAAAACGGGGGGGAAGGACGACTTCAACATCCTTATTAGTATTGGTAGCTTCAAGTAAGTGGTTAACTCCAGGTCGGACCCTTGATCGGTTCTCATGCTGCAGGGATAGTACCCCCCATTCCCAACTTCCCTCTGGGCCCCATGTCATGTTGCGTGCCTAGATACATCTGAAGCTATTTAGATACATATTAGGGTGTTGGTGGAGAATCCAAGGTTCCCAGATGTGCAGGAACTTGGTTTGTGAATCCTCCAGGATACTAGACAGCCTTTCGTTCAACATGATATTGTCCAACCTACGTGTAAACTCTGTATATGTTATTTGTTGCTTTTTCCAGTTGCCCGCCAAGGTGAGCTTAGCTGCTAGAAAAATAAAATGTGAGAGCGCGCGTTGTGAGCCATGCAAGCCTGGGATGGGCAAGTGGAAAAGAGCATGTTGGAGGTTTCTTGGGATCCGCGTGTGAAGCAAGGTAGCGAGCAGTCTATATATTTTGATCCAGAATCGGGTGGCCATAGGGCATTGCCACCAAATGTGTAGCATATCGCCTGGCTCCTGACAACCCCGATAACAATTTCCTGAGTAGGTAGGGTACATGCGGGCAAGTCTAGCTGGGACCATATACCATTTCATAAGTACTTTATACGCCACTTCAGCGTTTGTAACATTACGGGTACAACTAGCTATACTTTGCCACATGCGCCGCCACGTCTCCGGGGACCACGTCTGCTGCAGATCTCTCTCCCAGCCCTCAACATAAGAGTGTGTGGTGTGACTAAGCAATCTGTTGAGCTGGGAATACAAGATTGACACCAAATCCGGGCCCCTGGGAGAGTGTAGGCAGATATGTTCAAAACAGGTAAGTATGCAACCTTGTTCGCTCCTCCTTTATCAAGGCAGAGGTCCAGTGGTAAAGCTGAAGGTATCGGAAGTGTTCGGACTCTGGAATCTGTTTACGTTCCCGTAAGTACTGCCAGGAGGGTATAGTAGGGGAATGTGCCATGTCGTAAACTATTTAAAAGCCGTTGTCCGTCCACCACCGAAAGGCTTTGGGGTTGTCCATACCTGGCGGGAACAAGGGTTGCGTGAATAAAGGCAGGAGTGGGAAGTGCGGGGAGAGTAGCTCAGCCGAATATTTGATAGAGTCCCACACTCTGAGTGAGTGTAGGAGAAGTGGGCTCAGGGTCTTGGGTCTGTTAGTGGTCGGTATCCAGGGCAGCGCTGACAATGGCACGGGGAAGCAATTCGGAATTTCCAGCATAAGCCTGAGGGGGGGATCGCTGTTGGTGTAGGGAAATTAAAGGCAACAGTTGTGATGCCTGATAGTACAGTAATATATTGGGCAGGCCCACTCCCCCATCTCACGTGTTTTATATAGGGTGGTCCGTGCCACCCTGGCCCTAAGAGGGTGCCAGGTAAATTGGAGGATGCTCCGCTGCATTGAACGTAAGGCGAAGGAGGGGATGGCGACCGGAAGCGTTCTGAAGTAGTAAAGGAGTTTGGGCAGTATGGTCATCTTGATTGCGGACACTTTGCCTAGCCAGGAAAGTTTATGTGGTATAGCCAAGAAGTCAACGTGTTCTTCAAATTTTTAAATAGAGGGGTATAGTTTGTGGCATAAAGTGTATCGTATGAGGACGTAATTTTATCCCCCAGGTAACTGATATATAATTTAGCCCAATCAAAGGGAAAATTAGTACATAGATGATCGTATAAGTGTCTAGGTAGCGTCACATTCAATGCAGCGGATTTACCCCAGTTCACTGTGAGTCCAGAAACAGCGGAGAATTGTTGCAGTAGACGTAAGAGGATGGGAACTGTGGTATGCGGCTGAGTCAGGGTAAGCATAACGTCATCAGCGAAGAGGCTTGCTTTATATTCTACCCCCGCTAGTTCGATGCCTTTAATGTTGGGATCTTTACGGAGAAGGATCGCTAGAGGCTGGCGCCTCTGGCGGGTACCCCTCTCGATTGGGAATTCTTTTGAGAGGCGGCCTAGATACTTAATTTGGGCTTTGGGGGTAGAGTAAAGGGCCTGCAACCAAGTTAGGAATGAGTCACCAAAACCCCAGCGGCGTAGGATATAATGTAAGTATTCCCAGGAGATGGAGTCAAATGCCCTTTGTAAGTCCAGTGACAGAAGGAAACCTGGTATATTGCGAGATCGGAGCGTGTGGACAAGGTGGATTATTTTTTGCACGTTGTCCCCCGCTTGCCTACCGGGAATAAAGCCTACCTGATCTCTATGGATAATAGTGGGAAGAAAGGAGTTAATACGGGTGGCCAGTATTTTTGTTAGAATTTTAATGTCAATGTTTAGCAGTGATATAGGTCTGTAATTACTGGGATTTAGATGATCCTTGTCGGGTTTGGGTATCATCGACACATATGCCAGAAGGGAAGAAGGGTGTAAATGCAGGCCATTTTTAAGGGAGTTAAACATCAGGGTCAACTTTGGGGCTAAAAGCGGTGCAAGTTTTTTATAATACAGGGCAGAGTATCCGTCAGGGCCGTGTGCCTTGGAGGGTTTAAGATGTTTGATAGCGGACAGAACTTCCTATATGGTCATCTTGATTGCGGACACTTTGCCTAGCCAGGAAAGTTTATGTGGTATAGCCAAGAAGTCAACGTGTTCTTCAAATTTTTAAATAGAGGGGTATAGTTTGTGGCATAAAGTGTATCGTATGAGGACGTAATTTTATCCCCCAGGTAACTGATATATAATTTAGCCCAATCAAAGGGAAAATTAGTACATAGATGATCGTATAAGTGTCTAGGTAGCGTCACATTCAATGCAGCGGATTTACCCCAGTTCACTGTGAGTCCAGAAACAGCGGAGAATTGTTGCAGTAGACGTAAGAGGATGGGAACTGTGGTATGCGGCTGAGTCAGGGTAAGCATAACGTCATCAGCGAAGAGGCTTGCTTTATATTCTACCCCCGCTAGTTCGATGCCTTTAATGTTGGGATCTTTACGGAGAAGGATCGCTAGAGGCTGGCGCCTCTGGCGGGTACCCCTCTCGATTGGGAATTCTTTTGAGAG